GCTCGATCAACTCCCCTTCTATTCTTATTTCACAAATCGTTTTACTTTCTTCTCTTTCAAAAACCATAACCTTCGTCTTACTTGCGTTCACTTTCATACCCCTTTCTTTTAATGATCTGTTCATTAATGTAACCATCATTTGCAACTCGGCCGCCGACGACGCAAGTATAACTTGATCATCGGCGTACAAAAGGCATTTGACGGTTAACTCACCCATTCTTAATCCGCATTCTTCAACTTTCAAATTTTGCAAACAACTGTCCATAAATAGGTTGAACAGCCACGGGGAAGCTACACAGCCCTGTCTGACACCTTTATGGATGTCAAACCAGTCCGAGTAGACCCCGTTGATCCTAACACAAGCACTAGAGTCCCTATAAAGGGACTCCAATGCCCGTATCAAGCCAGCGCTCAACCCAAATGAGTTCAGTGTTTGCCATAGCACATCCCTATTCACTCTGTCATAGGCCTTTTCCAAGTCCATGAACGCACAAAAAACCTTTTGGTTTTTGGCCAAAAACTTCTCCGCGATCATGCGCATGGAAAAGACTTGATCTGTACATCCCATTCCCTTTCTAAATCCTGCTTGTGCGTTAAAATGCTTTTAAATAAAACTACTCTAGGAATAGCCTATATACTTGTATATTACAAGACGTTCGTTAGTTTTCATAAATTATTATTGCATTTATCGACGCGTTCATTTGTGGATATGCGACATCTGACTTTACTAAGAAAATATTTATTTCATTGCAAACATGTTCAGATAAAATACTCTATTATCACACAATTTATTATTAAAAAAAAAATTAGCTCTTGGTTTTCTGAATCCGCGTTCCTTATGTACACGACATGATGAATTTTTGGTTTCCCATGATCGTCATGCGGTAGATATTATGGCGATAAATGAAACGTGGTTGAATCCAGGTGAAGAACTGCGCGTACCTTCCCCTCCAGGATATAAGCTACGACACAAACCGCGTCCTGCAAGCATCGGAGCACGCGGAGGGGGGTGTTGGTTTTTCCATTAGAAATGGTATCCACGCTCGCGTCCTGGAGCATCCGAGTACGCTCACTATTGATCAGACGTGGTTAGGTGTTAAAGCTAATGATCTGAAATTTGCCATTGGTACCGCGTATTATTGTATGTATTATTATTGGTCCTCCGTGGTATCACGTTGATAATTTTATAAATGATCTTTCTAATACAGTCAGCTCATTCTCAGCCTACAACTACATTTTACTGTTGGGAGATTTCAATAGCAATTTGCTTGCAGCTTCTGATCCTAATTCTAAAAAGCTCAATGATTTTCTTCTTTGTATGGGTCTAGGGCAGTACGTCACACAAGCGGCTCATTTTACTGATCACTCGGAAACTTTACTTGACTTAATTTGCAGTAGCTGATGTATGTGATGTATCTAATATACAGGTTGATTATGTGCCAGATCTGAGTCATCACGCTTTTTATCTTATGAACTGAACGTAAAGAAGCCGAAGCAATTCTCAACATCTATTACTTATAGGCCAATTAAGGATATAAACGTACTAAAATTTAATTTCGATGTTGATGCTGTATTCTGGGAAGAGTTGCTTTGCGTTGACGTAAACAGTTCTTTAACGGCTTTCAATGCACTTAGTTTGTACCTGTTTGATATTCATGCACCAACAAGAACGTCTTACATAAAATGCCAAAGCTATCCGTGGAACACACCAACGATTAAAGAAATGATGAATATAAGAGATAAAGCTCATGCAAAATGTAAAGGCCATAATTCTAAAGGAGACAAAAAATATTATAAAGATCTGAAGAGTACTGTTAATGCTACTATACTGAGTGACAAACAGCCTCCTTTCAATATTTTATTAATAAAAATTCAAAAAATGCTCAAGTACTTTGGAGAAATATAAAGAAAAATGTGGTAGACTTCAACAAAAAAGATATTGCTTTTCCATCAAACTTGAATGATCCTGACGTAATAAATCACCATTTTCTACACGTGCCAGGAAGCAATAGTGTAAGTCCTTCAACATTATGCTATTTTGAATCTAACCGTTTCAATTCGTCGGTTTTCACTTTAAAATTAGTGGATGAAAATTTTGTATCAGAAATTTTGAAAAATATTTCCACTAATGCTATGGGTGTTGACGGTATTACTAAAGATATGGTTCTCTTAACATTGCCACGGACTTTGAAAACAATAACCACCATTATTAATACGTCTATACAGACAGGGGTGTTCCCAGACATCTGGAAGGAAGCCATCATAAATCCAATACCAAAAAATAATCATCTTGTAGAACTAAATCATCTTCGACCTATAAGTATATTGCCTTTTTTATCTAAAATCGCTGAAAAGGCTATTTATTTACAATTAATAGAATATCTAAACCAGAACAATATTTTAACTCTTAAGCAATCAGGTTTTAGGGCTGGACTAAGCACGGTTACAGCACTGTTGAGTGTTGTCGATGACATTCTGACAGCGCAGGATAACGGAGAGGCTACGATTTTGACTCTGCTTGACTTTTCGCATGCGTTTGATACAATAAATATTACTCTGCTTCTGTCGAAGTTGGTGTATTATGGTTTTGATTGTAACGCATTAAAGTGGTTTGAAAGTTATTTGAATGGTCGCACACAGCAAGTCAGGCTTCGAAATGAAACTGGTACCAACATTTTTTCTGCAGCGGCTCCTGTTACTCGTGATGTTCGACAAGGGTAAATTTTAGGTCCTTTACTGTTTATTCTCTACAGTGCCGATATTACAAGCTGTTTTAAATATTGTCAGTATCATTTATATGCAGACGACCTTCAAGTGTACATAATTATCATTTAGGCCGGGTGATACAAATGAGGCAGTTAATAAATTAAATCAGGAGTTAGAGTATGATCGCTGAATGGGCGAGTAACAATGAACTCATCTTAAATCCAAATAACACCAAGTTCATGATTTTGGGGTCAAAGAAATTAATGGAACGAACGAATGCTCATAATCCCAAAATTATTGTTGGTGGCGACCATATTGAACAAGTATCTGAAGTTCGTAACTTGGGTATAATTATGGACAGTAGTCTAAGGTTTGAAAATCATGTTATGCATACAGTGAAAAATTGTTTTTATAGATTAAAGTATTATATAATATCCAGAAATACTTAAGTGAAGAATTAAGGGTTCAACTTTGCGAGTCATTAATACTCTCGAAGCTAAATTATGCTGATATTGTCATGGGAGAGTGTTTGCTTGCGCAAACAAAACTTGTTATACAATGAGTACAAAATGCATGCGCTAGGATCTGCTATCGAATTCCTCGTAGAGGCCATGTGACACCATTTTTAAATCAGAGCAAATTTATTAATATGAAATCTCGTAGATCGGTTCATTACAGTTGTTTATTTTATAAAATATTACAAAATCAACAACCGAAATACTTATATGAAAGGCTCAGTTTCTCGGAACGTCTCTCGCGGAAAACTGTTCGATTATTTTACCCAAGACACAGAACGGCCGCGTTTCGTGGTAGCTTTCGGTATGCTGCCACAAAGTGTTGGAATAATATACCGTCTCCGATCAAGGGCAGCAAAACAGTTCGCACTTTTAAAATAAAACTAAAAGAATACCTTTTAAATTTGCAAAGTAAGTTGTTGTGTTGGCTTTTTGTTGTGCCCTTTCTTAAATGATAACAGTTTTATTTTTATTTTTAAATTATTATAAGTGTGTTCTTTTATACATATGAGTAAAGTATGTATTTTCATAAGTGTTGGAACCTGTAATTATTGTAATAAGTTAAGTTATATTCCACCTATGTCTCTGGTGTTTACTGAAAATCAGTAGTTGTAGTTACCATTATATGGTTTCTTCATTTTTGCAGAGTAGACGCCTTTTTAGTTAATTCCTTTAACCCTCCGTGCACCAGGTGACTAAAAGTCTCGTCCCATACTAGGTGGGGTGTGACAAACCCTAAAATATAAAAGTGATAAAATTTATATATTTTTTGTTATTTTACGGATTGAAATATAAGGTATTTATAAATACACAATAATAATCAGGTTTAAGTAAAACTAAGAGCGGAGAGTATTTGTTAAAATAATAATTATTATAAATGAACAAAAAAACACAACTTCTGTAATTTATGTAACTCAACAGTCATTTTCTTATATACTAATTCCAAGTGACGCTTATAATTATTACAATCGTTTTAAATTCACAAACTACAATATATTTTCTAATAATCAAACATATATTGAACACAGGATAGATAAATTTTATTTTAGATCATCGATGTTCAACTGACAACAGACTTGATGACAAAAAATCTGTGTGCTCCATATTGCATTGCATTACATTTGGCACATAACGTTTTTTTACATGAGTATTTTGTTTTACGATCTTTGTTTATAGGGCAAATTAAGCATTTTTTGGAGCATTAGACTTTTTTGCTGTACGATCTGTTTAATTTTTGGGCGTATCATCAAAATATTTAGCAATTCTATCGCATAGGTCCCTTCGAAGTTTTTGGTTCTGCCTTCTGGAATTTAAGTGGCCCTTTATCAAAGAAATAACAAATTCTGGAATAAATTTACTTCTCGAAAACGGTGAGCTTATGGTTATAAAGGAAATTTTCTGTACCTTCGTAGCTAGTAAAAAAATTATCCATAGTGATATTCCAAGAAGACTGTATAATACCTTTGTCTAGACGGGCGAAGCTCTAAAAATGGTACATCGTCGTCACTGTCAAAATCGGAAAAAAAATTTACACTCTGAATACTCAAATGTTCAGATTCACCTTCAGATCCCGGTCCTGAACCTCCAGATTCTAACTCAAAGTCGTCTCCTTCATCTTAAAGAGCTTGTAATATATCAGCTTCCTTGATATAGGACATTTTTCATGTAAACTATTATCTGTAACTAGTTCAAATTTATTTAAAATGATAAACATACATAATATAATACAAATAAATAAAAAATACATAAATTACATCGAATAAAAATCTTACCTTTTAATTAACGCGCCGTACGAGGTGGGGTGTGTGACGCCCACACGCACTTTAAGGATGTGTAGCTAACTTGGCGATTGTCACCGGAACGACTTAGCGGCACTGGTCGGAGTGGCAACGTTATAATTCCAGCTACTGAAAATTCGAACTTCGGCGCGTTCACAGTTTTAAAATTATCGCAAAATTTATAGGACTGGGGTTTGTCAAACCCCACCTGGTACACGGAGGGTTAAACAATTATGTGATGTTAATTTGTGTGTATGTTTGGAACTAAATAAATTATATTATTATTTTTTCTCAGCTACGAGCTGGTAAATAAATGGCGATTACGGGTTAAAAAAAGTAACCGTCACTGTAATAGGGGATAAGCTACATTACTGTCATCCTGCATGAATTTTCGAACAATGCGACATGTATTTAAGATAACGGCTTTTTGTATATTAATATATAAATTCGGTGATATGTCTAGCATTTTCAAACTATGATGTAAGTGCTTCGGGATTATCCCGGTGGTAGAAAGTACTATGGGTATTATAAAAAAAAATTCATCTTCCACATTTTTGTTATTTCTTCTTTCAGTTTTGTGTATTTATTTATTTATTCGGTTATAGTTTTAATTATATTATGCGTATTAGGTACGGCTATATCAATGATATATACTGTTTCATTTATTTTATCCTGAAGCGTAATATCCGGTCTATTATAATGGGTGGTTTTGTCTGTCAGAATAGCACGGTCGTAGTCACGGAAGTATAGACAAACTGAAACCCACACTCCTAATATCAAATTGGGAATAACCAAATGACCTCAAATAACCCCTGTTTTCCCTACAGCATAGCCAACATGACGGCTGATATTACGCCATTGACAGCGATTGTGAATTTCAAAATAAGTTTAATTGTTTGTATGGCAAGAGTTATAAGTCAAAAATGATAAAAAAACTTGACTAAACCGATTTTCACGCAAGTGTTTGCTTTTCTTTTAAAAACTAAATAAAGATTTACGATGAACTATTTGCCTAGCCTCCCAATATTTTCGTTATTTTATAATTATTCTTAAAAGCCGTTATATGTCAACCCAAAATCTATTTGTCAAATAATTTTTACTGCAAATGACAGATGTTTATGTTCATTTCGCAAGTTTGTTTTTGAATTTTGGAATAATCCAGAGGCAAAACTAGTAAAATGGTCATTAAATGTATTGTGCGCGGTTGCAAAAGTGAATGGCATCCAGGTTGTAATATTATATTTCATTCGTAAGTACAAAACACCATGCAAATACTGCGCGTCATGTGAAATTGTTTAGTGATATTTCGACTTTAATTGCTCTTATTTCTGGATAGACAAATTGTTATTTTGGTTGAGATGTTAATTATGGTTCGGTATTTCCAATTTCACTTCATTATTTGCTTACTAATTAACGTTTCATGTTTGTATTATAACTACGACTAGGGTGACCATACATTGTGAATGTATTTTCATTTTAATTAGAAACGGAAAAGGTTTTCTCGAATGGTACTCTGCTCGATTTGCATGAAATTTCGAAACGTTGTTTACACGAATGACGACACACTAAAACATCACAATTAAAATAAATTTATATTTTTTATAACTTAATTTTTTGCAGGTTTCCTTCCAATCTAACAGAACGTAATAAATGGTTAAATAATGTGGAACCAAAAAGACCCTTTTTTTGAAAAAGCAAAGATACGTCACCTCCATTTCAAATCAACCGATTACATGATTACGGGGAAACGACTGAGACAAGAAGTCACACCGTTTTTAAATGAAATAGCAGATTGTTCTCTGGTACAGGTATGAACTTTTGTTAGGTACTTGTTATTTCGTATTTCCATATATGTTGTATTCCACGATGTTTTGTTAATTTTTTGAGAAAAAATAAAAATGCATTCTGTTACCTAGAAAATTGGAACATCTTATGTTATAACACTCGGCTAGAATTTTTTTTAAATGTTTAAAAGCTATTTTTGTACAATATTTTTCTAATTTTTTAATTGTATTAAATATTTTTCAATGAAAATTTACACATATTTATTCAAATATATGGTCTCAGGAAATTAATTTTATTGATAATTTTCTTACACCTCTATAATTGCTATCGTTAGAAATAAATTTTCAGATATAATGTCACCTACAATTTTGGTGTTAATGTATTTAAATATAGTTCTAATTTACTTCCTATGATTTTTATATTTTTGTTTACCATATTTATATTGTTAATTTCAGACACAAGTAAACAAAGGAAATCAACCATCAGATTTATCTGATACGGTTCAGGGTGATGAAGATTCGAATATTTTAATAAAAGTATGTATATTTTTAAAGTGACGATGAGAAGGCACATTCGCAGGTTTAATTTAATACTTACTTAATTATATTTGCAGTCAAATGAAAAATATGCAACTAGCGCAGCCAGCTTCTAAACGAAGCTGGGAAACTATGTTAGACGTGCCATCCTGCAGTCATGTAAGTGCTCTTTTAATTTACACAATTAGCCATTAACATATTTTTAATTTTGTATAATAAATATGTATGTTAGTCAACAAGGTATTTATCTAAAGACCTCTATTTACATTAATTAACATAATGTAATGTAAATATTGCCTGAAATAAATTATTATTATTATTATGGGGTATCTATATAGTTTTCTCATCTGGTTGGGTTCTATAAATATATAATTATAAATGAGAATGAAAAGATAAATATACATAAATATCAATAACATAAAATAAATATAAAAATACTTAAATAAATAAAAGCCCAACCAGATGGAGGCCCTCGGCAGGGGGAGACCAAACGGCCGAGGGTTAGGGGGAAAGGGAAAGAAACCGGCGGACGATGCGGGCGGTATCGAGGAGCACCGCCTTCTGAATTTGAGCCCGGAGCGGTCCGCCACGTAGTCCCAGTCGCCTCAGATGACCCGAGAGGCTGACTGGGATTAGCCCGTTTGCAGAGACGACTACAGGAATAATTTCGGTCGGCAGACCACCCCACATGTCGGTCACCTCGTGAGCCAGGTCCAGATATTTTGTTTGCTTGTCTGTTTCGGCTTTCACGAGGTTCTCGTCATACGGAATGGTAATGTCGACCAAAAATATCCTTGACTGTGCCCGGTCCATCAGCACAATATCAGGCTTATTCGCAAGAATAGTCCTGTCTGTGATGATGGCCCGGTCCCAGTAGAGCCTGGCGCGGTCATTTTCGAGCACGGCTTCCGGCAAGTACTTGTAATACGGCAATTTCCGGTCCACGAGACCATATTTCAGAGCGAGCTCCTGGTGTAGAATTCTGGCTACTAGGTTGTGCCTGTGCAAGTACTCAGAGTTAGAAAGCGCCGAACAACCGGAGATAACATGCCTAAGTGATTCACCGGGATGGCGACAAGCTCGACAGACGTCGACGGTGCCATCCTTTAGGATGTATCTCCGATAGTTGTTGGTCTTAATAACCTGATCCTGTATTGCACAGACAAAACCCTCGGTTTCCCCGAAGAGGTCACCGAAACGTAGCCAGTTGAGGGAGGCGACTGTATCTACGAAGGGCTCATGAAGAGCCCTGTAGTACCTCCCGTGGAGCTCCTTCTCCTTCCATACGGTCTCCCGGTCGGAAATGCTAAGCACTGCTGGGTCCTGCCATTGCTCGTGGGCTAAGGATAGAGGGGTAAGCCCTTTATCACTAGAAATGACGTCATTATAGAATGGATCATCCGATCTCGCCAGGAAGTAATCACGGAGGCTGCACACTTCGCGATTATGCATGGTGAGCGCGCTCATAAAACCACGCCCACCATGCTTTCGCGGCAAGTACAGCCTCATTACCGACGATCTCGGATGATGCATCCTATGGGACGTCATGGTAGTGCGGACTTTTCTATCCAGGGCGTTAAGTTCGGTCTGAGTCCACCTGAGTATGCCAAAGGTATATATGAGGACAGGCATGACCCAACCGTTATATGCGTGTGTCTTATTCACACCGGACAAAAGGCTGTTAAGCACTTTGGTCAAGCGTGCATAAAACACGTCGCAAACTGACTGTTTCACACCAGCCTCATCGATACCGATGTTCTGTGACATACCCAGGTATCGGTATGTTTCAGCCTCGGAAAGGGTCTTTAAGTTGACGGGCATAGATAAATCTATGCCCTCAGAGTTAGCAACCCTTCCCCTTTCAACATGAAGGACCGCACACTTATCCGTCCCCAGCTCCATTCCAATGGAATTGCTAAATTCACAAGTGATGTTTAGCAATTCCATAAGATGGGAGCGACTGGAGGCGAATAACTTGAGGTCATCCATATAGAAAAGGTGGGTCACTTTTGTTCCTCCTTTCCGTAGCTGAAATCCTCTCCCGGAGCCCTCCAGTAAGGTACTGAGAGGGTTCAGAGAGAGGCAGAACCAGATTGGACTCAGACAATCGCCCTGGAAGATACCCCTTCTTATCCTTATGTGGTTCTCCGCAGCCATCATCCGCTCGCCCTGATAACAGAGGATCGTACTCCACTGCCCCATACACTGCTCGAGGAAGTCTCTAACTGTACAGTCAATCTTGTACAGCTCGAGGACCCTCTTTAGCCATGCATGGGGCACCGAGTCGAATGCTTTTCTGTAGTCTATCCAGGCGGCGGAGAAGTTCCGACGGTTGCGTTTTACCACTTTGCCAATGACCGCGTCAATGAGGAGTGGTTCCTTGGTTCCACGACCACCGCCCCGACATCCATTTTGAGCGCGTGACATCACCTTATTTAGCTCCAGGTGACGAGTGATTCTCGCGCTCAAAATGGATGTCAGTGTCTTATATATAGTGGGTAGACACGTGATGGGGCGGTATTTGCTCGGGTCTGTGGTATCCTGATCTTTAGGAACCAAGTGAGTGATCCCAGTAGTGAAGAGGCTCGGGAGCGACTTCTGATCGAGAGCCTCTTGATACTGTCGGGCGAGCACAGCGTGACACACTACGAACCCCTTCAGCCAGTAATGATGCAGTCCGTCGAGCCCCGGACTTTTCCAGTTCGGGGCCCTACGGACCGCCTCAGCCACGTCTTCAGGCGTTATGGTGACGGGGTCCATAGGCGTAACACTTGCACTCCGGCTCGCCACAACTTCCATCCAAGGGCCCTCGCTGTGGTTTACGGGCTCTGACCACAGGCCACGCCAAAATGCGACAGTGTCAGCCTGATCCGGTCCTGGGCCCGCTCCACATACCTCTGGTCGCTCCAATGATTTATAGAGCCTCTTCTGATCACTCTGGAAGAGACGATTTTGGTTGAACCGCCTTGACCTCTCGCTAAATCGTCGAATCCGCTTCCCCCAAGCAGCGATTTTTTGCTTCAGGTCATCTATGCGCTCCGTTAGTTTCTGCGTGATATCCGGCTGGGACAAACTAATATTTGTCCCAGCAAACGCCATTCTAACGGTGCGCACAACTCTCGGTCTAATATTACCCGACCTGAAGCTTGTCAGTCTGCCGATAAGGGCCCTTGCCTTTGCGATACGGTCCTCGATTCTTTTTCTCCAGGCTGGGATGGCACTACCTTGTTGAGTAGCACGTCCAGCCATGGGAAGTTTGGCGCCAATAATACGGCATACTGCCAGTGCGGCGCCAAAAAGAATAGAGTCCGTCTCGCAAAGGTCCCGGCTGGCTTCCAAATAGGTCACCAGCATTGGGTTAAGAGCCCGCACGACAGCCCGATTTCGCTTGCTAAGGGGTATGCGGGGAAGTCGCGGTCGATTTTCGAGAGGCATGCTGCGCGTTTCCAGCATCGACTCTTCCAATATGCTCCTCATTTTCTCTAGTTCGTGGGGGACTATTCCATCATCGTCTGAATCAACTACAAATGGAATATTGACGGCAGCGTCCACATTTGCAGTTTGCTGCGCAATTAGTGGCGCCGCATTCTCAGCCGTAGCATTTCCATCCGATGAGGGAACAGCCTCACGTCGTAGTCGTTCGAGTTCGGCGTCACCAAATATGTTGGAGCGCAGGATGTACCGAACTCGGTCTGCCAGGTTTTGCTCAGTGACGGATAGAGATGGCTCCAGCTCTGCAAAAAAAGCGATGCATCCGAGCCCGATATGCCAAACATCCGGTTTCTTCCCCTTTTGCCCTAAAGTACGCCCGCAGTGCGTTTGCGTTCATTGTTTGTGACCAACGCATGCGACGTGCTCCACCAGCGGCGGGTGCCGCTTGCTGAGTCCGAGAAGACCCAGCCGACACCAAGCCTTCTGGTGGGGATGATGGATGCGGAGGGCTGCTAGGTGATCGTACAGCTCCTCGCGCTCGGCTGGCGGCCCGCATGCTGCCGCGTCCAGCGCCAGCTCCAGACGCGCCCCGGCGACCCCCAGGCAGCGGCCCTATGCGCGTTCCTCTTTGTACCATCATCCATTTATGGGCGCCAAATAACGGGAGACGCCCAAGCCCGGCACCGTTTCGTGGTTCGGTCTTATGCACAAACGGACCTTTGCACCCACAATTTTGCCTAGGCACGGCGCTCACACCTCTTGGCAGGGCGCTGACTGACTGCGCCGACGTAGTAGTTTTGTCACATAACTGTTACGTCAGCGGGCGATGGGGTCGTCACTTCCCTACGCCTATTATTATTATTATTAAATTTTTATCTTAATGTGTAATAAACATATTGTTATTCAGTGTTGGAAAATCATATATTTGTGTCTTGTCAGGAATCTTGGCCACTGCGTGATGCTACAAAAGAAAGTATAAATATTCCTCTTTGTAAAAAACCACTGTCTTTACTTCGAGATATTTTGGAAACGGAAAGGGAAAATATGAACATCGATGATATTATAACATCCAAAATAGTAACGACATTTTAATTTCATCAGCATACTTTGTTGGTCTATTAAATTGTTAACTACAAAGTCTAAATTTTTTCAGTTTTTAATTTCTTTAAGTTGAATTGTGATTTTAGTTCTGACTATAGCATTTTCACAACTAACTAGTCCATTATAAAAATAATCGTTTTATCAGCTTTTTACTCTTTTAGGTCACGGACAAAAGTACTTCACACCCATACAAATCTACTGCGCTGATAAAAGTGTGCAAGCAAGGATTAAATCATCACGAGAAGAAGAGCTAATGATAAGAAACAAATTATTAGTTCAAAAAGTATTTCGGCTCAACAAAACTGTTTATAATTTGAAATCCTTAATAAAAATTGTAAAATCATATACAGAGAACAGTGAGATAGAAAATATTATTTCAGGAAATTTTGCCAATATAATATGTAAAGAATATAAAAAAAACACAAGGTGTGAGGTATAGCGATGAAGTGAAATCCTTCGCTTTTAACATTACATTTTTATTCGTCAAAAGCGTACGAGTTTGTTAAACAATATGCATCTTTGCCACACGTCGAGACCTTAAGACGTTCATTGGCCTCTTTTAATTGCAATTTGGGGCTTTTGTCTGAAGTTTTAGATAATTTGAAGCAACAAGTACAAATACCCGAAACAAGTTATTTAAAAAATGTTGCCTTAATATTTGATGGGATGGCATTAAAACAAGATTTATGCTATGATCAAAAACTTGATAAAGTTTTCGGCTATGTTGATCTCGGTAAAATCGTCGTAAGCAATCTGGAAGAAATAGCTACTGAAGCCTTAGTCTTTCAAATCGTGTCCTACACTACATACTTCAAGTGCCCGATAGCTTATTTTTTATTATAAATAGTTTGCCTGGTGAACTTTTAGCAGAATTATTAAATACTACTGTGTTGTTGCTTAACGAAATTGGAATCACAGTCCGCTCAATGACATGCGATGGCGCTCCATCGAATATACGAGCATACCAATTTTTAGGCTGTTGTCTAGAACAAGAAAATTTTCAGCCATATTTTCTACACCCAAATGGTAGCGACAAAATTTATTGTTTTTTGGATGCCGCACACATGTTGAAACCGGCACGTAATGTTCTAGCAGAACATGAAATATTATCATCAAGTGGGACCACATCATACGCCTTCATTCGTTGTTTACATACGGTACAAAGAGAAGAAGGCTTAAAATTTGGCAACAAATTATCATCTACCCACGTAGAATACGAAAATAAAAAAGTTAATGTCAAACTTGCGGCCCAAGTTTTGAGTTCATCGGTGGCTGAGTCCATCGAGTTCTTAAGACTTAGTGGAAATCCGCTTTTTTTGGGGAGTGAAGCCACGGTTGAGTTTTTAAAAATGATAGATAGGATATTTGATTTTATGAATTCCAAATCGCCTTTTGTACGTGGTTTCAAAAGTCTTATAAAAATTGAAAACAAAAAATATTCCGAACTGATTTTGCAACAGACAAAATAATATTTAAGATCATTGAGTACCAATGGAAAAAGTATTTTACACCACGGGCGCGAAAAATTTGCTCTAGGTTTTTTAATGAACATTGAAAATTTTCCATTACTTTTTCCCGAATTATTAAACGTCATTCCTCCCATTAAATATCTTTTAACATTTAAATGTTCGCAGGATAATTTAGAAATATATTTTTCTTGTATTAGAGCCCGGGATAGAACAAATGAAAACCCCAGCCCTTTTGAATTCCGACATAGATTAAGAAAATTGTTATATCGAAACTCTGTACAACCCTCAATTAATGGAAATTGCATTGATCATACATACGACGCAACGCATGTATTTGAATTCGGCACTAAACAATCATCCCTAGTAGAACCGATCTCAAATATTGATAATACAGATACTGATGATGAAATCGAAAACCACTTGCAGGCTTTAGAATCACAAAACACCCATACGGATTATCAAAAAAATATTCTTTATTATATTACCGGATATATAATAAAAAATATTGTCAAACGGCTGAAATGTAATGAATGTAAAAATTTGCTAATTGCTCCAGATCATTCGCAAACCGATCATTTATATGTTTTAAATGTAAATAAATATCAATCCTTTACAATATTTGTGAATCTAGGTAAATTGCATTTTCCTTTCGCAGAGGTGTACAAAATTGTCCTTTTTGCGGATAAAATATTTAAAAGGGCATCAAATATGAATAGTCTGGGTCAACCTAATATTAAAAATGTATTAATCAATATCATTATTCAACACTTCACACAACAGTTGCGACAAATGTTCTATCATCCTATGGATGACAGTATAAATTGCTCTGAATTTCATGAATCAAGAATTTTAAAATTAATTTCAAACTCTTTTTTGACCATGCGTCTCAGAACGCATCTAAAAAAATATAAGGACCAAAAAGTTGAGTGTAGTTCGTACCAAGCGCCAAAAACTTCACAAAACTATTTTATTCAATCTTGTATAAAAAATTGTGTTGTAAAAACCTTGGCTTCTAATTATTATTATTGTATCTTTCAACTTTGTAGACAGTACTGCTATTGTAATAATAAATGTAAATAAAAACGATTGTTATTTTATTTTTATTATTTCCTTATGTTATTTTATAAGGTCGTCACTCCATCTAGTGGGGGGTCGCCCTACACTTCGCCTACCGGTACGAGGCTGCCACTCGAGAACCTTTCTTCCCCATCGCATTAATTAAGTTATATTATATTACCGGCGGACGAAGTGTAGGACGTCGCCCCACTAGATGAAGTGACGACCTGGTAAGACATGCAGGAAGTCGATGGATGCAGGTGGCTCAGGACCGTGCTTTGTGGCATTCCTTGGGGGAGGCGTATGAGTGCAGTGGACTTGTGAAAGGCTGTAATGATGACGATGATGATGATTTTATAAGGGATGTAAAGACAGCCCCCCGAAAACTTTAACCATAAACTCATCCTGAGCAAGCTACTGAAGGAATATAAAAGTTATTAAAAATGATGTCCATTTATAAATTAAAATTTTATAAATTAATATAATTTTTAATAAATTTATATCTATATAAATTTATTGTATTTAGTTACTTAAGTCACCAGCCACTAATTTCTCACCACGCCATGGGTTGACTGGCAAAGAATGCTAACTGGCATTAAGTCCGCCCTTTGTAACCTTTTTTATTGGTTTGAACAAAAAAGTTTTTAAATAAAAATAATGAACATAAACTTTTTTCATAATATCCCAAATTCTTGTATTTTGTGTTCACCCTAATTAGAAAGAGACTGAGGGGTAATGAAAAATTTCAAGGTCGTTTTCTTGTATTTTTTATCTCATTCGAGAGTGCGGGTTCCAGTTTGTACGAAGTACATGTATTTCCATGGTCGTAGTCACGGAAGTATCGAAGTACATGTATTTCCATGGTCGTAGTACATTTTAAAATTTATATTTTCAAGTATGGCCGTTGGTGTGTATTTGTAATATGGTGTATGTGTGGCTGGGACTAGTTTGTGTTCGATTGCTAATTTTTGGTGTATTTATAATTACTATCTGGTTGTGTCTGTGTGTGTAATCTGTCTGTGTTAGGGTTGGGCAAGCTTCTGTAATATGCTGAATGGTCTCGAGCTGTTTATGACATTTTCGACATTTATCATCTGCTATTGTAGGATCTTTAATTATATATTTTTCATAAGTTTTCGTATTAATGACTTGATCCTGTATTGCTATCATGAAGCCTTCGGTTTCAGGAATAAGTAACCACATACACGCCACCTATTCGATGCCTCCGAATCTACCTGGGCTTGACCTAAGTCATAGGGATGTCTACCATGCAAAACTTTTTTCCATTGTATTAATTTCAAGTATTCTCTGTCTGCATACTGATCATTTATTTATGTTATATGTGGATTTTCTGTAAGGTTTAGTGGTGTGAGGTCCACGTCTATTCTAACAATAGCATTGTGTAAATTACTGGTAGTCATTTTTATGTGGAAGAATGATCTATGGGTTGAGAGCTGCTTAGTCCAGAGAGTTTGGATGTCTATAAGACCTCTTCCACCTGTATTTCTGCTTAATGAAATCCTTTCTACTGCAGACTTGGGATGTAAATGATTAAATTTTGTTAATATGGTACGTGTTTTTATTTCGAGGCTAACTATGTCTGTTTTTGTCCATTTTATTATACCAAATGAATATGTTAATATCGGAATCACGTAAGTATTAATAGATTTAATAGCTTGGTGTAGTCTAATAGCTTGGATTGCTGATATCTTAAGTACTTTTATACTTCTCCTGACTCCATGGACGAAATAATGCCTCCTTCTGGTAAAGTGTAGGGTCCTGGTTCTATATTTCCCTTCTTTATATTTAAGATTTTACATTTTTATAATCCAAATTGCATATCTATGTTGTTACTGAATTTACTTGTAATATTTAATAAGATTTTCATGTCTTTAAACGAACTGGCATAAAGCTTTATATCATCCATGTATACCAGGTGTGATATTTTAATCTCGAAATTAGGGAGTTTTACAAGGTAGCCTTTCTTTTGATTATTAAGTAGACGAGATAATGGGTTGAGTGCGAGGCAAAACCACAATGGGCTCAAGGAGTCGCCCTGGTAAATACCTTTCCGGAGAGCCATATTCCTTGTATTAAGATTGGTGTTAATGGTATGCAGATGCAAAGAGGTTTTCCAGTGCAACATAATATTTTCCAAAAAATTTATTAGACTCTGGTTTATTTTATAAATTTTTAAAACTTGAATTAGCCAAGTATGAGGTACGCTATTAAATGCTTTACGGTAGTCAATAAATGTGCAATGTAAGTTTCTCTTCCTTAAATTTGCGTGTCTATGAATGGTTGAGTCAATTATGAGCTGCTCCTTGCAACCCATGTGGTTCCTCCTACACCCTTTTTGTTCTTCTGCCATAATCATGTTAAGCTCTAAATGTGAATTTATTTTTGCAGTGATAGTAGCGGTTAAAATTGTGTATATTAAGATGGAGGAGACAAGTAATTGGGCGATATTGGGATGGACTATTTGTAATATTACTTTTTTATTCATACATGTAATCCATTTTGAAATAAGTGGCGGCAGTGGTTGCTTTTGGAGTATAACATTTGTAAAAGTTTTAGCGAGAGCCTTATGGAAAGTATGTAATTTTTTATACCAAAAATTGTGAATGTTGTCTATTCCTGGTGATTTCCAATTATGCAGTTTAGAGGTGCGATTTAACATCATCCTCTGTTATTTCGTCAAATATCATTTCCTCTATTGAATCCCATTTACTTATCTCCTCTTGTATTCAGTCTGCATTTTCATTGTGCGATACTGACTTCTCCCATATTTCAGACCAAAACTCTTCAAGCTGCTCTTTTGTTACCATTTGTACATCATCCGTATTATTAGTTATATTTTTATTACTAATTGTCTATAGAATAATTTTTCGTTGGTTTTAAAAAGTTTATTTTCTTGTTTTCTTTGATTAGCCTTCGAAAATCTTTTAAGTTTTTGTGCTTTAAGTGATAACTTCTGTTTGAGAGTGTCAAGGTATTCTTCAGGTGATTTGTTTTTGTTTTCATGAGTTTTATGTGTTTGATAATTTCGAAAGACTTTTTTGCTATTTTAGTTACTTTTTTGGACCTATTGCCCTCTTAATATATTGAGTAAGTCTACATATATCTGATCGGAGTTGGTTTCCTCTATCCTTGTCCTTTTTGTAATCTTATTGGCCATGCTGGTTCTGGGTTTCGCTTGTGAATTGGCATTTGATTTTCATCTAAAAATTTTAAACATAATTCTTTTGTTATAACCATAGCGCTACAGTACACGAGGGTATGAATGTCAGATAAAAGTTCATTGTCTGTAATAAATCGGTTGACTATGTTATTGTTAAAAATATCTATTAGATTTGTAAGCTTTTTACTGTATTTTAATTTAGGTAATTTTGGTCTGCATGTAGGATCCATACCTGAGTATTGAAATATTGTTGTTTTTAATTCTTCATGTAGTTTTGTAATTACTTCTTCTCCTATAGTTTCTTGTTCCAATGTTGTAAGATCTGTTTCTAAAATGATATCGTATACCATATCTACTTGAGTAAGAGTATTTGAAGTTTGTGTGGATGAATGGGTGGTGAGTGTAGTCGGCTCTGTAGTGAATGAATGAGAGTTTTAATCGCATGAATGAGGTTGAGGTAAATCATTTGTTGCAAGAGCTTCTAAGTCTGTTGGGTTAGAACAAGGAAGAATGTTGTGGCTGTCATTACCAACGGTATTTGATTTTTCAATTTTATGCCTGATTTAATTTTTTAATTGTTCCAATTCTTCCTCAGATAGATATTACTTTTTAATTATCATTCGTCTCTGATTTGAGATTCTTTGCTCCGTAACATTTACTCCCTACCCGAAAGTTGTTTAGTAAAAGATTCATGCAGGATTTTTCTGTAACAAGTCATATCTGTCTCTAATTTAGTTATAGTGTAATATGTACGCATGATAAACATGTTGACATCTTTTGACCATGTCATGCGTACTCTTGCTTTACCAGCCTTAGTGGACGCAGGTAAAAAGGAATTCACCTCCTGCGTAACATCTAAAGTTCGTGTAGATCTATTTGGATATGGTAAATTATGCCTTGTTAAGGATGACGGTGAAGGTATGTGGCGAATGTTGTACGCTGAAGTTTCTTCTAGTAAAACTGGTGGTGTTGTATTGTCAGTCTATCTGTTTTGTGTCGAGTTGACTGTAGCATTTTCGGGCAACCCGGAGAGAGCCCGCCTATTCAGCTCCTCTCCGCTGACGGATCGTACACTGTCGCACCCAGCGACAGCTCCAAGTGCGCCCCGGCGATCACCCCCGGGCAGCGGCCCTAAGCATTTACTTCTTAATCAAGTCTCCATATTTAATGGGTAAAATATATCACGTGTCCGCCCCCTACGTGAATCAGATGGTCGATTCGGACGTACGGTTGGATTTTAGGAGGGATTATTATTTTTTTAGGGATTATTATATTATTATTTTATTTATATTATTATTTTATTAATTATTATTATTTTTGGGGTACCTATATAATTTTCTCATCTGGTTGGGTTCTATAAATATATAATTATAAATTAAAATGGAAAGATAAATATACATAAATATCAATAAAATAATATAAATACAAAAAATACATAAATAAATAAGATCCAACCAGATGGAAGCCCTCGGCAGGGGAGACCAAACGGCCGAGGGTTAGGGGGAAAGGGAAAGAAACCGGCGGATGATGCGGGCTGTATCGAGGAGTTCTGCATTTGAGCCTGGAGCGGTCCGCCACGTAGTCCCAGCCGCTTCCGATGACCCGAGAGGCTGACTGGGATTAGTCCGTTTGCAGAGACGACTACAGGAATAATTTCGGTTGGCAGTCCACCCCACATGTCGGTCACCTCGTGAGCCAGGTCCAGGAATTTTGTTTGCTTATCTGTTTCGGCTTTCACGAGGTTCTCGTCATACGGAATGGTAATGTTGAAAAATATCCTTGACTGTGCCCGGTCCATCAGCACAATATCAGGTTTATTCGCAAGAATAGTCCTGTCTGTGGTGATGGCCCGGTCCAAATAGAGCCTGGTGCGATCATTTTTGAGCACGGCTTCCGGCAAGTATTTGTATTACGGCAATTTCCGAACCACGAGACTGTATTTCAGAGCGAGCTCCTGGTGAACAATTCTGGCTGCTAGGTTGAGTCCTTGCAAGTACTCAGAGTTGGAAAGCGCCGAACAACCAGTGATGATATGCCTAAGTGACTCACCGGGATGGCGACAAGCTCGACAGACGTCGACAATGCCATCCTTTAGGATGTATCTCCGATAGTTGTTGGTCATAATAATCTGATCCTGTATTGCACAGACAAAACCCTCGGTTTACCCGAAGAGGTCACCGAAACGTAGCCAGTTGAGGGAGGCGGCTGTATCTACGTGGGGCTCATGTAGAGCCCTGTAGTACCTCCCGTGGAGCTCCTTCTCCTTCCATACGGTCTCCCGGTCGGAAATACTCTGTACTGCCGGGTCCCGTCATTGCTCGTTGGCTAAGGATAGAGGGGTAAGTCCTTTATCACTAGAAATGACGTCATTACAGAGTGGATCATCCGATCTCGCAAGGAAGTATTGATGGAGGTTGCACACTTCGAGATTATGCATGGTGAGCGCACTCAGGAAGCCACGCCCATCATGCTTTTGCGGCAAGTACAGCCTCATTACCGATGATCTCGGATGATGCATCCTATGGGACGTCATAGTAGTGCGGACTTTTCTATCCAGGGCGTTAAGTTCAGTCTGACTCCACCTGAGTATGCCAAAGGTATACATGAGGACAGGCATGACCCAGCCATTATATGCGTGTGTCTTATTCACACCGGATAAAAGTCTATTAAGCACTTTGGTCAAGCGTGCATAAAACACGTCGCAAACTGACTGTTTCATACCAGCATTCTCGATACCGATGTTCTGCGTTATACCCAGGTATCGGTATGTTTCAGCCTCGGAAAGGGTCCTTAAGTTGACGGGCATGGATAAGTCTATGCGCTCAGAGTTAGCAACCCTTCCATTTTCAACATGGAGGATCGCACACTTATCCGTACCTAGCTCCATTCTAATAGAATTGCTAAATTCACAAGTGATGTTTAGCAATTCCATAAGATAGGAGCGACTGGAGGCAAATAATTTGCGGTCATCCATATAGAAAAGATGGGTAACTTTTGTACCTCCTTTCCGAAGCTGAAATCCCCTCCCGGAGCCCTCCAGTAAAGTATTGAGAGGGTTCATAGAGAGGCAGAACCAGATTGGACTCAGACAGTCGCCCTGGAATATACCCCTTCTTATCTTTATGCGGCTTTCCGCAGCTGTCATCCGTTCGCCTAGATGACAGAGGATCGTACTCCACTGCCCCATACACTGCTCGAGGTAGTCTCTAACTGTACAGTCAATCTTATACAGCTCGAGGACCCTCTTTAGCCATGTATGGGGAACCGAGTCGAATACCTTTCTGTAATCTATCCAGGCGGCGGAGAAGTTCCAACGGTTGCGTTTCACCACTTTGCCAATGACCGCGTCAATGAGGAGTGGTTCCTTGGTTCCACGACCACCGCCCCGACATCCATTTTGAGCACGCGACATCACCTGATTTGAGTCCAGGTGACGAGCAATTCTCGCGATCAAAATGGAGGTTAGTGTCTTTTATATGGTCGGTAGACACGTGATGGGGCGGTATTTGCTCGGGTCTGTGGTAGCCTGGTTTTTAGGAACCAAATGAGTGATCCCAGTAGTGACGAGGCTAGGGAGCGACTTCTGATTGAGAGCCTCTTGAAACTGACGTGAGAGCACAGCGTGACACACCATGAACCCCTTAAGCCAGTAGTGATGCAGCCCGTCGAGTCCCGGACTTTTCCAGTTCGGGGCTCTACGGACCGTTTCAGCTACGTCATCCGGCGTTATGATGACGGCATCCATGGGCGTAATACTCGCACACTGACCCGGCACAACTTTCATCCAAGGGCCCTCGCTGTGGTTTACGGGCTCTGACCACAGATCGCGCCAGAATGTGACAGTTTCGGCCTGATTCAGTGCTGAGCCCGTTCCACTTACCATTGGTCGCTCCAATGATTTATAGAGCATCTTCTGATCACTCTGGAAGAGAAGATTCTGGTTGAACCGTGTCGACCTCTCGGTATATCGCCGAATCCGCTTTCCCCAAGCAGCGATTCTCCGCTTCAGGTGGTCTATGCGCTCCGTCAGTTTTTGCATTATATCCGGCTGGGACAAACAAACATTTGTCCCAGCAAATGCCATCCTGACGGTGCGCACAATACTTGGCCTGTTGTTGCCTGACCTGAAGCATATCAGTCTGCCGATGAGGGCCCCAGCCTTTGCGACACGTTCTTCAACTCTTATTCTCCAGGCTGGGATAGCGCTACTTTGTCCAGTAGCGCATCCAGCCGAGGAAAGTTTGGCGCCTATAATACGGCATACTGCCAGTGCTGCGCCAAAGAGTATTGAGTTCGCCTCGCAAAGGTCCCGGCTGGCTTCCAAATAGGTCACCAGCATTGGGTTTAGAGCCCTCACGACAGCCCGATTCCGCTTGCTTAGGACTATGCGGGGAAGTCGCAGTCGATTTTCGAGAGGCGTACTACGCGTTTCCACAATCGCCTCTTCCAATGTACTCCTCATATGCTCTAATTCCAGTTCCTGGGCGACTGTTCCATCATCGTTTGAATCAACCACAACTGGGGTATTCACGGCGGCATCCACGTTTGCGGGTTGCTCTGCAATTTGTGGCGCCGCATCCTCAGCCGTAGCATTTTCATCCAATGACGGAACAGCCTCACGTCGTAGCCGTTCGAGTTCGGCGACATCAAATATATTTGAGCACAAGAGCTACCGAACTCGGTCTGCCAGGTTTTTCTCTGTGACAGTTAAAGATGGCTCCAGCTCAGCAAAAAAGACGATGCATCCTAGTCCGATACACCAAACCTCCAACTTCTCCCCCTTTCGCCCTAAAATACGCCCGCAATGTGTTAGTATTCACTTAGATTGTCCATCGCATGCGGCGTACTCCACCAGTGTCGGGTGCCGATTGCTGGGCCCGCGAAGACCCTGCCGACACCAAGCCAGCTGGTGGGGATGATGGATGCGAGGGGCTGATGAGTGGTCGTGCAGCACCTCTCGCTCGGCTAGCGGTTCGCATCCAGCGCCAGCTCCAGACGAGCCCTGGCGACCTCCAGGCAGCGGCCCTTTGCGTGTTCTTCCGTATTCCATCATCCATAGTGGTGGGCATCATTTAACGGGAGACGCCCAGATCCAGCGCCGTTTCATGGTGGGGCTATGTGCACAAGCGGGCCTTTGCACCTTCAATTTTTGCCGAGGCACGGCACTAACACCTCTTGGCAAGGTGCTGACTGACTGCGCAGACGTAGTGGTTTTGTCACATAACCGTTACGTCAGCGGGCGATGGGGTCATCACTTCCCTACGCCGTAACATTATTATTGTGGGGTATCTATATAGTTTTCTCATCTGGTTGGGTTCTATAAATATATAATTATAAATGAGAATGAAAAGATAAATATACATAAATATCAATAACATAAAATAAATATAAAAATACTTAAATAAATAAAAGCCCAACCAGATGGCGGCCCTCGGCAGGGGAGACCAAACGGCCGAGGGTTAGGGGGAAAGAGAAAGAAACCGGCGGACGATGCGGGCGGTATCGAGGAGCACCGCCTTCTGCATTTGAGTCCGGAGCGGTCCGCCACGTAGTCCCAGTCGCCTCAGATGACCCGAGAGGCTGACTGGGATTAGCCCGTTTGCAGAGACGACTACAGGAATAATTTCGGTCGGCAGACCACCCCACATGTCGGTCACCTCGTGAGCCAGGTCCAGATATTTTGTTTGCTTGTCTGCTTCGGCTTTCACGAGGTTCTCGTCATACGGAATGGTAATGTCGACCAAAAATATCCTTGACTGTGCCCGGTCCATCAGCACAATATCAGGCTTATTCGCAAGAATAGTCCTGTCTGTGATGATGGCCCGGTCCCAGTAGAGCCTGGCGCGGTCATTTTCAAGCACGGCTTCCGGTAAGTACTTGTAATACGGCAATTTCCGGTCCACGAGACCGTATTTCAGAGCGAGCTCCTGGTGTAGAATTCTGGCTACTAGGTTGTGCCTGTGTAAGTACTCAGAGTTAGAAAGCGCCGAACAACCGGAGATGACATGCCTAAGTGATTCACCGGGATGGCGACAAGCTCGACAGACGTCGACGGTGCCATCCTTTAGGATGTATCTCCGATAGTTGTTGGTCTTAATAACCTGATCCTGTATTGCACAGACAAAACCCTCGGTTTCCCCGAAGAGGTCACCGAAACGTAGCCAGTTGATATATTATTATTATTATTAATGTGAAAAGATCCCTACACGGCCTCAGTGAATCGAGCCGATCAGAAAGAACTCGATCGTCGACGATTCGAATCGCTCTGCGCTGGTTGCGGTCAAGTGAAGGGAAGTGGCATTCGGGTGCCCGGACCCAGAGATGAGAACAATACTTCATGTGCGGCCGAACTTGCGCTTTGTAAAGTTGCAAGCGATGTGCTGACATGCTCTCTCTCTGCTCGACTGCTCGACTCTGCTAAGAACGACAAGCTTTCTAGAGGTCAATTTGACCAAATTGGCAATCTGACCACTCTTAAATCAAGGCGTACAATTCGCGTGGAAATGTTGTTTTATGATCTGTGTCACAATAGATACGACTGTATGGATATAACTGAGAATATAAATTATAGGGTATAATTATAGAGTATATATAAATATAGCGTTGCTGAGTTCACAATAATAAAAAAAAGGTGTAGTAATTACATTAGATAAGTTGATAATTGTGAACTTGTTTCTAATCCTAAGTTTAATAAAGAAAAGAGTTACATGTAATCTATTTAGAATTAAAAATATTCTGTTCTATTCTATTCTATTCTAAAGATAACTTATTTTCAATTAAATAGAACTTCAACTAAATGTAATCAATGATTCAAATTGATCTATACTTGTATTAATCTCAATTGAATAAAATTTGTCTTTTCGTCTACTTTCCAAAAGTTTATTTTATTCAAAACTTTCTTTACTTTCAAAGGACATCACTATCTTTATATTATTTAGCTTTCAGGTAAAGTTAAAGTGCATTTCGTGATTACCTTTCAATAAGTTTGAGGGATATAATAATTTAGTTAAAACCCTTTCATAAATTTTCCCTACAACCCATGCCCAGAATTGTACTTGTTTACTTTATAAAATTAATTTAATTACGTATAACGTCATCATATCCACGGCAATTCTTACGGCTCCGTGATGCAGTGGCTTAGCAAAGTATTAACATAAAATTTATTACTACACTACACTACACTACTACAAATAAACAAAAGAAATTGTCGCAAATACAATTTCGGCGCAAGACACAATACCATTTTTCTAGTTCAAGTAAATAAGGAATTAAAATGTTCTGTAAATTATGTACGATTCCGTAAGTTACTTAATACTCGTAGTAATAGCAATATTTTGTACATAAAGTATTTATTTATTTATTGTTGCTGTTTTTTTTTCTTTTATATTACATGTAGTAGATTACCTAAACTCCATATTCCTTGACATCAAAATGATATAATATATCGTATGCTGTAAAGCTATTCTGTAAGAGTACCAATGAACTTCAAAGTGACTATCATTTTTAATTCAAAAAAGTTAACGGATAGCCTGAAGATCCGTATGAAGTTAAACACAAAGCAGAAAAATGTCTGTGGGTCACGAAGAGCCTCGCGGTTTAAAAAAACATGTATAGGAAGATGGATAAAAGTGAGATGGTTTAGACACTCGTATTGCCTAGGGGCCCCTACATGGCTTGTAGGTTAATCCAGACCTGGAACAATATAGAGATGATAAATTTATACGAGAAACCCAAGACAGTGCTACCAGTGGTACCGCCCTATTACCGATTTTTTCACCCAACATCAGTGCCTGCATTAATGTATTTGGACCTTAAGAACGCTAGTATGATAATAATAATAATTATTACTTTTATTTCGGTCAAAAAAAATCGAACTAGTAATATTAAAGAGAAACAAAAAAAACGTTTTATTAGCCTTTGGGTTTGCTGCAGTGCATATTACGTTGATTCTTTATTTTTTTTTTCAAAGTGACAAAAATAATGCTATTACCAGAAAAATCTAAAACATGTAATATAAAAGAAAAAAAACAGCAACAATAAATAAATAAATACTGTATGTACAAAATATTGCTATTACTACGAGTATTAAGTGACTTACAGAATCATACATAATTTACAGAAAAATGGTATTGTGTCCTGCGTCGAAATTGTATTTGCGACAATTTCTTCTGTTTATCTGTAGTAGTGTAGTGTAGTATAGTAATACATTTTATGTTATTACTTTGCTAAGCCACTGCACCACGGAGCTGTAAGAATTGCCGTGGATATGATGATGTTATACATAATTATATTAATTTCCTAAAGTAAACAAGTACAATTCTGGGCATGGGTTGTAGGGAAAGTTTATGAAAGGCTTTTAACTAAATTATTATATCCCTCAAACTTATTGAAAGGTAATCACGAAATGCACTTTAACTTTACCTGAAAGCTAAATAAGTTAAAGAGAGTGATGTCCTTTGAAAGTAAAGAAAGTTTTGAATAAAATGAACTTTTGGAAAGTAGACGAAAAGACAAATTTTATTCAATTGAGATTAATATAGGTATAGATCAATTTGAACCATTGATTACATTTAGTTGAAGTTTTATTTAATTGAAAATAAGTTATCTTTAGAATAGAATGGAATATTTTTAATTCTATATAGATTACAAGTAACTCTTATTGAAAGTCCATTAATTCAATCATTCATTACAGCCCATCACAAGTCTACTGCTGAATATAAGCCTACCTTAAGGAATACCACAAAGCACGGTTCTCAGTCACCTGCATCCATTGACTTCCTGAATATCTTAACCCGTTATTCCATCTAGTGGGGTGTCGCCATACATTTCACCAACCGGTACGAGGCAGCTACTGGAGAATTTTTATTCTTCAACGGTTATCGGTTCTTCGAGACATATGGCCGACCCATTGCCACTTCAGCTTACTCATCCGTTGAGCTATGTCGGTCACTTTATTTCTGCTGCGGATATCCTCATTTCTTAGTTTATCATGTAGAGAAACTCCAAGCATAGTCAATTCCATAGCTCGCTAAGGAATCTTGAGCTTCCCCATACGGCCATCAATTAAGGACCACGTCTTAGTTCCAAAAGTCATCACTGGCAACCTGTACTGGTTGTGCAATCTCGTTTTCAAGCTTAGAGGTATTATTCACGACGAGAAGATGTCTCGTAATTTTCAGAACGCTGCCCAGCCGCGTTGAATACGTCGATTGACATATCGGTTGAAGTTGGACTTACCTAGTCGCACTATTTGTCCCAGGTAAACCTAATTGTCAACAACTTCAAGCTCAGCGCTCGCAATTACTACAGACATAGGTGTAACATGGACATGAAACATGATCCTTGTTTTGTTCATGTTCATCTTAAGACCTATCCGTTGGGAGACACTATTGAGGTCATTGAGCATAGTGCTTAGGTCCTTCAGCGATACTGCCATAAGGACTATATCGTCCAGCAAATCGAAAGTGAGTGATGTACTCGCGATTTATGTAAATATAGTATCCTTTCCGGTCCAGAAGCTTAAAAGTGTCTTTCAATGCAGCGGTGAACATTTTATGGGATATAACGTCACCTCTTTGCTGTTGGATAAAGGAACTGTAGCACTACCAACATTTCAACGAAATCATAGTTCACATAAGCAAGGCAAAGAAGCAGATTATACAATGA